ATATATATATATATATATATATATATATTGGGGAGAAGGGGAACGGTGAAGAGATTTCAAACGAGCAGGCGTAAAGGGAAAGCTACGTTATTATGTACAATGGTGGCGACTTGAGGTCGATAAAAACTAACCATGTCTACAAGGGCGCATAGACACTTCTCAATTTATTGAAGACAATTAAAGATCTAGAAGATTTTTCCATCACAGGCGCTCAGATAAAAAAAATATTTAAACGTGAGGATGGGATATAAGTCACTGTAACTCCTCGTTCGATGGAAACAGATAATTTAAAAGGAAAAGTCATATCAACTTTAAGATAATGTGGTATGTCATTTTATTCTCCTTAAACTCACCATTGCGCACACACGCTAATTTATTTTTAAAAAAAGTAAAAATGCCCCCTCCCTATGCGTGCTTGCTTAAAGCAGTTCTCATCTCAACTAACAACATAGTTTCATGCTCATCCAAAGTGCTAAGACACATTGAACCCTATGTGCTTGATTTGCTCGCCCCGTATAAACCTTATCGAAGAAGATTCAGATGCCGTGTTTACGTGAATGCCCTCAGAATGTGTTAAAACTTTGTCATCACTATTATTAGAAATGACTCTATTCACGGCATCTGTTTGCACAAACTTCCAATACCGTAGAAAAATATTATTAAAATCATCTACACAAATTAATTCACCATTGAGAACATCGCCATTGACAGTGTAGACCTTGACACGCTTGTGAAGATTTTCTATGAGGAAAGTAAAAGGATCCGTCATGGGTATATATTTTTTTTCCCTTGCTTATAGGGCTTTGAAACATGAAGTGTAAATGAAAAAGAAATTGGAGGAAATTAAATATTATGATATATGAAGCATGAAAAGCATAAGCAAAAATTACTCTCACTCTTTCTACTTCTATTAGCTCTTTATATATATATATTGGGCAGCTTTGCTGCATAGTCATTACTACACAAAATATTATTATCTACTTTCGTAAACCGCTAATGCGTTTCACAGAAGACGGTTAGTCTCTCAGGATTTTATACAGGATTATATTTTCTATCTATTTGTATATTCTCTGCCTACAATACAATCACCTCAAGGAAAAACAAATGTTTGAATACTTATGACTATTAATTATTCACAATAAATACCAAATCTTTCCTATTAGTATGAATTTACCAATGGTAACCCTTTAAAGTAATAAATTCGAAGGCCAGCCCTTCCTCTACTTTTATTAATTCTGCTCTTTGCCCTTTCCATAAGTTACATGAAGTGGTTCCAAAGAAATTTATTCATTTGTATTGTGATAATATATTCATCTTTAGTTTGGATTGCAAAAGTGGAATATTTAAGAAATCAACTTAGATATCCATGTCACGGTGTCCATCACCATGTCATCCATAATGTTTTCTAAGCAATGTCCTAAGACTAATTGCGATACCCCTGAACGCTGAGCATCCATAAATGATACATTAGCATAAGTCCAGCAATCCCCTCCCTTATTCTCTGGTTCATTAAAATTGCCTGCTCGTACATGCCCATTAGCGTGTGGCCCTCGTAAACCATTTCTTACGCCATCCCTACCCATGCCACTTTGGTAATTAGGATATGTGAAGAGGCTGATGTTTTCATTTAAGAGCGCGGACGGCGGGAGGTGCCCTCGGGTATTCGAGCCGTACTTTGGGTCGTTTGGTGTATGAGTTGTCTCCGCTGCGGTAGATTCTGCACCCTCCCCAACGCCGCTTTCGGATATAAAAAGTGGAAGAACTAACGACTTGTGAGATGGAAGTAGCGATAGAGATGAATAATCCCCGTTACCGTTGTTAATTGTGGAATCTTCCTCCGGTGCCTCAAGCTTATTATCGGATGCCGCGTCGCCTCTGTCTGGGATGTTGCCTAATTGGGCCCAATTGGACCCACAGGATCCCAACGACCGGGCCTGCTCCATGTAGAATAAAAAGAGCAATTCCAGATCATGGGTAGAAAAATTAGATGATGAAAATAGCTCGTGCAGATTTACGGTTCTAAAACAATCCAAGTCCGTGCCGTACTCTGTAGTAAAGCGCTCCGAGTACAGCAAATTATAGGCGCGAGCTTTCAAAACCATCATCCCGGCGCTGAGAATCAAATCACGCGCAAGGCGCTCCGTAACAGCATCCACTGCGGCTTCCCACTCGAGCGGTAAGGAGTAAAAAAACGAATTCGGTCCGTCCTCCTCCCTTGCTTTCCTATCCGCATGATCCCCTGAAGTTCCTTCATTCCCCTCTGCTATCGCAATAAGGCGTGATTTGCCCAAAACCGAAGAGCGTGAAACGCGGATGACGTCTTTCAGGGCAAGCAATATTCCTTTTTTCATCACACCTTGCACCTGATCACAGCTCAGATGTTTGAGGAGGGCCGACGTGGGGGGTTCGCCCAGGTTGTCGGCAAAACGCGCAGTATCGCCGTCGAGATTGAAGAACGCACACGGGGAAGATGATAAATACGCCATCTCAAGATCTTTTACAAATTGATGCGGATCGCCCACGAAATAGGTCGCCACCGCCCGCGCGGCTACGGAATCGTCAGGTCGAGTGTTCGCGTCGCCTCTCGCCGCGGGGGGCGGAAGAAATGGGGATATAGCCCGAGCGATAGAATCGTGTGATATGACCGAGGGCCCGACTTCGCTCAAAGAGATGAAATTGTGAAAGGCCAACCCCATGCATTCATCTAGAAAGTGTTCCGAGAAGAACGCCAACGCTGTGGGGGTTATGTTGACGCCCGCCACTTGCCCTTTCGGGTCACGCGTCACTCCAACGATCGTTTGACCTGGAGTCTGTCCTATAGCGATATCATTATACTCAATTCTCGAATTTGTCTGAATAGATTCCGACACCGGTGTTGAATCTATTGAAGTACCTTCCTCTATGGTGTAAACAATTGATTGGACGGATTCCTCCACTTTATTTCGACGCTCTGACTGACACATATCTGAGGATTCAATTGACATGGCTTGTATTACCCCATCCCGAAGAAAACTAGCAAGGAGATCATCGCAGGCGCGTAGGATTATAGGCGCAATGGTTTGCTTCCGACCAAGTTCTTTGGAATCCATTGCTTCGCTTCTTGTGCGTACTGTACTCACACAATTAGCATCTAACCCAGTGTCAACCGCGCTGGCGATGTGATTTTCCACGACCTCACCGCGCTCGCCAGGATAAAAAAGCTTCAAAACTCTATTAGGTGATGTATCCCGCACTTCCTCAGCACCCCTATCGTCCTCCAGTCCGCCCTTTATATGGTCCGTTGTCTCAACATCAATTTGAGGTACGGATGTCATTATCGACCAGGTTTCCCTATCTTCCTCATTCGGAAAAAGTCGAAGATTCGACGCTAATAAAGTTAACGATGTGTTGGTGGCGACAACCTCGTCATTGGTCATGTTGGTGTTTGCCCCCTTACTCTGCGCCTCAGTCTCTTTCCATACATCAAGCTTAGGATTGTCACTACAAGTCACATTTTCGGTATCTTTCTTTTCAGAAAGGCTAAACTTTGTAGCCGCTTCTAACACACAGTCATTTAAGAACGTATTCACAAAAGATTCAATCATGGCCTGAATCATCAAACTACATCTAGACTCGTCTATCTGCCGTCGTTCCGCCTCGCTAGAAACGTCAAGTATAACCTTTTCCTTTGGATCCGCCTGTTCGATCCATTTTTCAGTCGTGGCTTCAGCTGAGGCACCTGCAGTCTCCTCATAACTTTCATCAATCCTTGTCTGCTTGTCTTTATTTTCATCTTTAATGTCTCCATGTTGATCCTTCTCTTCAAACTGATGAAAAAGGTTTACTGCTCTCGGTGTTTGCATGACAAGGCACATAACCTCAGCTGCGCTTGCATCGGGCCTCCGTTCTATGTAAGATTCCTCAACTTTGCTCGGTCGGAGCTCATCCATTTTGTCAGTTTTCGCCTGTGTTAAGACCTTTGGTGCTGCTTCAGTTTGAATAAAGCTCGTAGCCGCATGAGTTAAACTCAAACTCAGCGTCGCTTCACTAAAACCGTAGAGTGCGTCGAGATGGTCACTTTTACGCCTCCTCAATACCCAATCATCTTTAACCTCAAAATAATGCAGGTCGCTTTCATCAGTTTTAGCCCCTTCTGGGAGATATGCAATGTCGGAAAGTGCATTTTTAGCCATGTCTGCAAGGGGGATGGATGGCATCAGAAGTTGTGCAGAATCCCTTGCTTCCTCGCTAGTCCGCTCCAGGTCGAACGAAAGAATTGAAGCAGAGCTCGCGCCATGATAATCCAGCTCACTAGCCTCCGTGCTGAGAGTACGGCTATATTTACTTCTGGATGTTTGATGGATTTCATTCAGAACAGACCTAGGATTTAATCGCAGCCCATCGGCTTCATCGTCAAAGAGTCTCTCGATGGCAGAACGACAGGCAACTTCGTCATCCACGACAATAGAGCGTTGTATGGAGTCATCATGAAAAAGATGATCATAAGCATGCACATTCGCAACTGCTTCGGAAAACATTACTTCGAAATATCCATTGCAGACGTCAATAACGTGTAAACAAGATCTTTGATGCCTAATAACTCGGATTTGATAAAGCCCATAGCATATGATTGCCTGCCAATGAGTTTCCTCCTCCTCTAACACACCATGTCGTGCTTTTTCCTCGGCAGCAATACGTGCTTTTTCCTCGGCAGCAATACGTGC